TCTCCGCAGTCCAGACAAGAGACAAAATTTCCATTTGGTATTTGAAAGATATGCTAAGAACTATATCATAATCAGTGGCACAAAGGGAAGGAGGCCTGTGACACTAAAGACTTAAAAACACATCAAGCCATCCCAAAACTTTATGCAATGGAAAGTTTGCATAAAGGTTAGTTTTACTGAGCTGAATGTGTCAATGCCAGTAATCCAGGGAGGACAAAGTGTGACATAGATCACAGCACATTAGACTGACTTCAGTGTCTACAACAGCCAAGAGGAGGCTTCGGAACATTCCTGACTCTGCTTTACAGCGCTCCACCTGCTCTTTCTGAAAGACCTGATTAACGTTGGTAGAATCCAAAGAGAACAGAGTCCTTTCCTACCTGCTGCTGGAGGCTTTAAAGGCTTCATACGTACTAGTAAATGGTATATTATATCACAACTAAGAAACATCAGCTGTTTCATTATAAAAATATTGTGGAGATGAGCACTGTATTTAGCCATCAGATAAACACTTCAAGGTCAATTGCAGGACAATGCTTTCAACCTTGTCTATCTGTCTTGTAGTAGACATCATAAACTTCTTGTCTCTGCTTGTATTTTTTATTGCTTGTTAATAGCCTCAATGTTTAAAACAAACACAAACAAATAAACCACCAAAACTAACAAAAGAAAACAAAACAACCCAAAAAACCCCAAAGCCAAAATCACAACAGAAGCAAAAACCAAAACGCACCTTTGTTTCCAGGAGGACAGAGCTTCAGATAACCATCCACTGGAGTGGATGCACCGATGTTCTAAACAAATAAACCCAAATGCCTGGAAAAGTCCCACACCTACCTCTTGCTTTGGACACGTGTACCTTACAGAAACAGTCAAGGGGAGAAGAGGAAGGCAGGTATAAATATTATATGAAACCTTTTCATATTGTGGAGAAAGTTTCTGCACGTCAAACTGGGAATTTTCTCCTCTCGCAAATTAGCATTACTTTTATTCCCTATGCTAACAGCCCCCCTAACACACAGAAAATGTTTTCAGTTCAGAACCTCGACTTTTTCATCAAACAATTAAGCAGTATGTTTCATTTCCCATGGAACCCAGTGACTGGAAAAAATTACCATCTTGCAATAACAGTACAAAATTACAACAGTATAAAATCATGAACAGTAATAGAATTATGCAGTAACGAGAATATCTGTGAGGTTGTGGCTTTGCCTTCCGAGAGATTTATGAAACACTCATCGCTACTGGGTGATGTAAGAGACTAAGCCTATGTGGGTCCATGGGGGGAATTTAAGATTACAATGTCTCTGTCATATAAAACCAGAGTCTGTATGAGAAAAACTGTGGAAATCTGCCAGTGCTTGGTCTTCAAGAGTTCCATGACAGCACGAGGAGACAAGATGGCCCTTTGACAGTTTTTAGAAAAGATGCAGCTCGTACATGTGAGGCAAGCTTTAAGTACAGTAGCTAGGCTAAGCTCCAAGACGAGTAGGAACAGGCAAGGCCTTACACACGCTTGAATGCTCAGAGATTCCCCACACCAGCAGCGGTGACATCATTTCACCACACAAGCATACTAAGGCTGTGCTGAACAGACAGAAAAACAAAACATCATGTCTTCTCTTTGTCAGAACACGGATAAAGGATTACAGACCACCTTCCCTTCTTCCACAGATCCCTGACTTCTGCTGCAAGACTGTGCCTGTTTGTGAATGCAACCTTCTGCAAAGCCCTGTCTACGCTTCGGCCAGGGCTGAGGAAGGGGCAGCTCCTCGCATCCAGCCTGAGGGGTGGGGTGGCAGGGGCAGTTAGCCAGAGCTCAGTCCTCCGGCAAAGAGCTCACTACAGTTTTATTTGTTACTTCTATACACAAAGAGACTTCAGCTAGTTGTACGCAGCCTGAGACAAGAGAGCCTTTATCAGCTTCCAGATGGCCTACAAACAGTGCTTCTGTTCCTCCACTGATGCGCGGGGCTCTCCCGCAGGACACAGAATGGCTATTGTGTTACTCGGAGAGCTGTATCTGGCTTCTAGCTGGAGCCTGCTTTTTCATGAGGTATTCGTAAAACTAGCCAATTTACAGACTGCTCAAGTTTGTCTTCAGAAACCGGGTGTCCTTAAAAAGGTAATTCAGAACGAACTCCGTGAGTGCTGGATCACCTGCAAGCTATGTAAAGCAAGGAAAGCGGCAATGAAACCATGGCAGCAAGTGATCACGAGAGCAGCAGCGCTGATGTGAAAGGACCGCACGCCTGCAGACAGCCTGAGGGATGTTAAACTTGCTGCTGTCTGAGAAAGAACAAGGCCCTGGAAAGGCATCGTGCTCCTCTTTCCAGCTGCTGCAGGCAGGGGGTCTTAAAGAAATGTATGGAGAGAAAGCAGAGATAGGGAGCAGCTAATGAAAAGGAGACAGATACAGAACACCACTGGACTGAACCTAACATGGTTTCACCTGGAAAGAAAGTTCAGATTCCTGGGGCTAACAGAGCACCACTTTATACAGGGTTTTGTCAGGTTTCAGTGAAGATTATGCCCTTCACTTCAATAAATAGTTTAAGAATCAAAATTAGATCCATTCGAGATACAAGGTACACAGTTTACAACAAGAATAACTTACAAAAGAACAGATAATTTTATCATTTTGTATACACAAAGACTGGATGTCACTGTAACTCTTGAATATAGAATATACAAAACCATGTATTGTTCTTTTAAAACGTGTAATTTTATATTTTTCTAAAACCACAGTAATTCTCCCTTGCTATGATGTGCTAACTACACTGAAACCTATTCTCTACAAGGAAGTGGGGAGGAAATAAGACAGTAACATATGTAGCTAACTGGTAGCAGGTATTACAGCATCCTCACTACCAACTTCTAATGCAGACAGGCAGCAAAAGTGAGATGCAGAACACCACTGCTTTGAATTCAAGGGTGATCTGAACTGAGAGAAAAGAAATTTCTGCCATTTCTTAATGGCAGAAATTAAGACTCCAGAGTCCACGACTCCAAAGGCCTCCATCTGTTGAAAATTTCTGGAGAAGTCAGTATGTTTCCCACCTTCTACCAAAAGAAAAACCATAAAAACACTTAAAAGAAGAGCAAGGCTGCAAAGGAAATTGGGGCTGCCAGAATTCTTGCAAAGTGCCTACTGTTAGAGCCACCTTTGTCGCACGTGCATTACAGTAGCCCCAACCACAGGAACAGCCACTTCTATTCCCTTCAGATTCTCGGCCTCATTAAACACACGAAACGCAACACTTTTGCTCTGGCCATGAATTACGGTTCGGTAGCAAAAGTAATGAGATGATGTCGTCTTCACTTCTTGCCAAAGTCAGAAGACACAGAAACAAGTAAATACAGTAAATAGATACTTATTGTAGATAGAGGCAATAAATAAAGTAGAATAGTGAAGGGAAAAGAGAGAAAATAAAAAATATATTTAAAATAGGATTCTAATAATTGCCTCTGGCAATAGAAGTTTCTGTGCTCTGGTGGGAAAATCACCTAACTAACATTTCTTAGAGGTGCTCGCTAACAGTGTACTGCATCTGTTCTAGCTGACCCATCTCATACACCTTTAACCTTAGTGTCACAGTACATCATGTTTGTGGCTAACGGCAAAGTCATAGGGACCTGAGCACTTGACCTGTAGCATTCAGTACACCCTGATCATAATTTTTAAAGGGGCATTCAAAGGGAGAATTAATTGCTTTGGTCTAAGCTAGAGTAATTATTTTCAGTGTCCCATTAACTGAGTATCTAAGCCCAGCATTTGAGAGATGACAGCATTTGGAATTCAGCA